TCGAGATTATTAAATATCTGTTATTATATTGGTAATTAAATATCTGGACGAAATATTTATTTTATTTAATTTAAATCAAAAAATATTTTAAGTATCTTCGTTATATGACTAGTAGAATTAAAAGAAGCACAATATACACATAAACATGCTTATTTGATTTAAACTTGGAAACCGTGTGAACTTGTTTGCTAAAGAACTTTAACTGATGATGGGAATATAATGTTATCGAAAATATGTATATTTCATTTAAATGTGGAAACTTTTAGAGTGTAGATTCAAGATTTATTAAAAATCTAAAGAATAATATTGTTCTCATTTGATTTGAATGTGAAGATCACTAGAACGTATTCTTTACGATTTTGATAAAATAACAACCGGAAAAAAGATCCGTAAATTTTCCGGTGTTTACGTTTTACTAAGGATCCTTTGAAAAAGTAACCTCTGTAGGGAAGATTTTTAAGGGAATTTCACGTGAGACTAATATTTACAACATTGATATTTGCCTCACTATTTTAAAAGCAATTATTCAGAATCGAAGATTAAGAGATGGGAAGAGAAACTTCTGAGTCGGAAATATTTAAAAAATGTTATGAAATATTTGTTACATATTTTAACAGCTATGATTTAGATTAGCTGATTACGGTGTAGAGAGAGAAATATTTTATCTGAAAATATTTATTCTCGTACAGTATAGTGATGTACTCGTTTGTGCCAAGAAATTTCACAGTTAGAAATTTCTTGGCACAAACGGTCTAATAGCAATTCATTTAATTGTTATTTTACCATGTTCAACAAAAACAGTCAAATAACCATAAAAAGCATATAACTATATTCAAACAGTTAAAAAACGTTTTTTTTCTCATTATCTTTCCTAATGCTGTTAAACAACCAGAATTCTATCTGAGCCATCTTGGGCCACCTTATACATATAATTTGTTCAGATCATCTGAATGCATACTGTAGCTGAGAGGACTAATCGGTTCATCTCATGACCTGTTGAACCGATGTTCGAATCCCTACCTTGGTACTTAAATTTATTTTTCATTCCTTCATTACATGAAGAGTTGACTTTTTTTTAAAATTTCATTACAATGATATTCGGTACGATTATTACCCACGGAGAAATAGCCTATTGACAAGGTTTGAAATTTTATTTTTTGGTAAAAGTAGTAGAAAAAATATGTATTTTTTACATATTATTGTTAAAATTCTTTTAATGACAGGTTCGAAGAAGAATATGCAAATTTGAAAGATTAGGAAAAGAATATAAATTTTTTTATGATTATAAAAAAAAATTATTTCATTTGAAATGTTCACTCTTTCAGATCGTCATCTTTGTCATAGGACTAGTTTGTACAGTTAAAAGCTTAGGAGTGGGCCCAGCTGGATCTGGAGGTTATGGGGGAAGTATGGGAGGCTATGGCGGAAGTATGGGTGGCTATGGAGGAGGTATGGGTGGTTATGGAGGAGGTATGAGCGGAATGGGAGGATACGGAGGAGCTATGGTGAGATACTTAGAAAATGATTCGAAATCCAATTAGATTTCAATCGACATTTGTTTTACATTAATTTTGTTTGTATTATTAGTCTAAGCCTAAACCATACAGTTTCAACTACCTAGCCAATGGCATGGGTGCAAACAGCTTCAGAACTGAAGAGGGAGATTCTAGAGGAAATGTACAAGGATCTTATGGCTATACTGATGCTCAAGGATTGTACAGACAAGTGCAGTACACAGCCGGTGCAGCTGGATTCTAAGCTACAGTGAAGACCAATGAACCAGGTACAGACAGTAAACCAGAAAGTCCTGCCGATGTGAACATGATAGCCGAACCAGCACCTGCAGGAATACAAGAAAAATACACAAGACGAGGTAATAAAAATGCAATTAGGATTAAAATTATAATTATTTAAAGTAAAATGAAAATTTTTCAATTGCTAAAAGGAATCATTGACTTAAAAATTTTTAAATATTAAATTAAATTTATTGTTTATTTAGTATAGTTACTTAGTTATAACAGTTATTGCATCAAGGTAAAATTTAATGCTAGGAAATTGCTCATTCACAATATTTATTTTTTCGTCTGCTTTCAGCAACTATGAATTGGATGCCGCTCATATTTTCCACACCAATGACTGTTAAATAAGTTACTAAATTTCTTTCTTTATCTTTTACTGTTGTGCGTCAGTTGGTAGAGTGGTACCTAGTCGCACTCTCATGCCACTGGTGCTGGGTTCAATGTTGGTGTCGGGCAAGTTTTACTCATCCCTTCATCCCTTGGGATGTCTGTAAAATAAGTAGTAAGCATGCTCGGCTGAACACGGCTTTCCGCGTTCGACTGACCACACAATCAAAACATCTGCTCCTGTACCCCAAAGCTCCTGGTTAAGAAAACTGAGATATCCACAGTAGGGCTCGGCCCTCTACAGGCTATCTCACCACTAAGTTTAATCTGAGTTTTGCGTGTTGCATTTAATATTCCGAATTGCATTGTTCTGCGCATAGCAGAACAATGCAATTCGGGACAATTCTTTTCCATGAGATTAGATTAAAAAAAAATTCTACGTAAGTTTTCGTTGACGCAAGATCTTTATTTCGAAATTAAATATTAAGTTTTTATTTAACGAATGAAAAACTTCGTTCAAAAAGAGTAGAACAACTCCCTATTAGTTGAGTTTGGAAAGATGTAACTTAAAATACAACTTTTTTAAAATTCAATTTCTCAAGATGATTTGATTCGACCGATTTTGGTCCCTTTATTGTTATTATTCTGATTATTTATTTCAATTTTTTTTATTCTGATTATTTATCTCAAATTTTGTATTTTTAAATTTTAAATTGCATCTTTTAAAATGATGTAAAAATTATCCACCTTACAGTTCAAAAGTTTTCGACTGTAATTAAATAAAATAATAAAAATAATTAAAAATAATGAATATTTACTTAAAGTTTTATTTTGTATGAAATTTTCTTAGAAATTGTATAATTGTGAGCAAACATGGTGAGATATGGTGAAGTACGCAAAAATTTTAACTAAAATCAATTTAGTCTGCTCTCCTTACCAAATTATCGGAACCATATTTTCCAGATTGGAGATATCTCTAATATTTTGAGGATCAGAAATCTAAATCTGTCGAAAAAAAGATATGTTAATTCAGAAATAGTACAATTTTCTATCTGATTTCGTAACTTGAAATATAGTCTTCACTAATCAATTCAAATATTTGATGTCACCACCTTGAACCATTTAGATAGATTCATGGAATGCGAGGATTCGTGAAGAATGTTAGGTTTTCGATCATTCTATCTAAAGTTATAAAGGGTGGTCCGATTATTCTTTTGCACATTATACATTCAATAGAATATAGATAGTAGAAACATGCATATCCTTTTATATCCTTGCTGATTATTCTTTTAACAAATTAATGATTTTAAAAATTAAATTTTTTAGTTAATCACAACATTTAATTATTTGATAATATTAAAAAATTCAGCTGATAATTCTTTCACAGTGTGTTTAATTATTACAAAGTTTAAATTGCTGAACGAATTAAACTTTTAACTATTGGTCTTGCAAAAAATTATATCTATTGATCATAAGAAAGTACTAAACAATTTTAAAAAATTTCTCTGTGGATCCGGATAAAATATTTATCAGATTTTATTTATACTGATCATGCCAAATTTCCCATTAAATTAAATGCTTTTGTCTTTTAGCTGGATCTGGAGGTTATGGAGGAAATGTTGGTGGAATGAGAATGCAAGGTAGAATGGATGGTTTAGGAGGTGGAATGGGAAACTATGGTGGAATCGGAGGAGGTATGGGTGGATACGGTGGCATGGGAGGACTTGGTGGTGGATCATCCAGCCCATTTTCAGGAATCAGTCGCAGTGGATCTGGAAAAAGTATTCACTGATGTAAAATGTCTGACAATTTAACAAATTATATTTGTTTGCGATGTTCTTATTTATAATTTTCGCATATTTTTTTCTTAATCAATTTTCTTGAAGTTAATTAACATAAGTTAATGATATTAATAATTACGGAATGCAAAACTAATTTGAAAGAAAATGGTGAAATATCATAATACAATTATTGAAATTTTTAACATAAAAATTTTTTTTTTGAACATGGTGACTAGTTTTCTTCTTTTTTTATGTTTTACTTGGTTTGAAGAAGATAGTTTAACATAAGTTAATTGTTTAACATAAGTTTATGACATCAATAATTATTAAATGAAAAACTAATTTGAAGGAAAGTACAGAAATATCATAATATATACAGAAATTTATAAATTTAAAAAATTGTTTTTGACCATGGTGGCCAGTTTTCATCCTTTTCTATGTTTCACTTGGTTTTAAAAAAAAATTTCAATTCTTTGCAAAACTTTCATATTTTATATTAAATGAATTTAAATTTTGAGATAAGTATTATTTTCTCATTTTAATTGCCAATTTCTGCTTAATGTGGTTTGTCTATATTACTTGCTGTTTGTGTATTAAACATTGTAAATTTTGTTGATTTTAAATGTCGGCTTTTATGTTTGGTCTGTGGTGTGGTGTGAACATAATGTCGTGTTGCATTTTCATATTGATCTCTTATAATTTTTGAAAAATGAAATAAATTTTTTGATTAAAAATATTTTTTTCTTTGTATTTATAATTTATATTTTTATATTTCCAACAACCAGCTGAAAATTACTTTTAAAAGCGTTAAGCGAAATTTAATAAATGCAATGTAATTTTATTCAAATGATTGTTGTTAAATAAACAAATGAACTGAGAATTTGAACAATAACATGCAAAAACTATCGTAAAAGAAAAACACAAGCATACAATAAAATAGTTATAACAGCAAAGAACATTAAGAAAAAAACGATCCTAATGGAGTCAAATATACCAAATAACCGTATTTTTGTGATAAAGAAAATTCCGATTTTTTTTTTAAAAAATGATAAATAAGACCAAATTTTATAGCATTTAAATAATTTATTTCATAATTTTTCTGTTCTTCATGGTTAATTGGAAGATCTATTTATTCACACATTTAATAAAAATTCAACACTGAAAAGTATATTTATCAAAAAATTTCCAGTTTATGTTTAACACATAATTTATCTGAACATTTTTTCTGTAATTTTTATTTCTATGCTTTGTGCCACATTGAATGTTAATAGACCATATCTGTTTAACCTGGTGTTTTTTTTATTTTAAATTTTGATTTATTTAAATTAATTAATTTATTTTCATGACAAAATTACAACAGATGAAAATTTTTATATTCTTTAATTTAAGTTTTTTACCGACACTGAACTCTAAAAAATCAAGGAAAGATTATCTGCACTGCTTCACAATTGCTCAGAAACAGTTACATTTTTCGGAACAATTAATAATAGACGTTGATTCACTAAATGAAACTATATAAGTACATGTATTTAGTAGAAGCAACGTGCTTTTATTATTACGCAAAGAAGTTCAGATATCAAAAAATTGTAAAATAATAAAATTTAAAATAAAAAAGATGCTCATTGGACGATTTCCAAACAGTCTTCCTGTCAAAAAGAAAGTAAGATGGCCTCGGATACCACACACTTTGCATCTGTTATTCATGTTGCCCACTGAACAATCTAAAGGTCTTTCAAGGATAATATCCTCCCTCAAAGTCATTTTTAGCTCTTTCACCGTTCGAAAAGAGCGTTCCTTGTGAAACAAGTCTGCCACAGGTATCCTATGCATATTCTATAGGATTTAGGTCCGAGGAGTACACCGGCCATAGTAAAGGATCAATCTTTTTAATTTCTAGTGTGTCCGCTACATCAGAGCACCTGTGTGGCCACGAATTGTCGTCCATAAACAGAAAGTGTCTGAACCCATCACTACCCCTATCAAATATTAAATCTACGACTTTTTTTTTAAACTATTCAATCGATTTAGCTCAAAATTTATAATTTGCCATGTATTACATATTTTAAAGTTACGTAAAAAGTTTTATGGCTCACAATTTTAGATTTTTTTCCATCATTATTAACTAAATATAATAAAAAATAATAAATATTTGTTTAAATTTAATTTTGCATTCTATTATCTTTGAATAAACAAATTTTATAATTATGTGCAAAAATTTTTCAGTTCGCTTAAAAAATTCTCAGGATATGGCGAAATTAGCAAAAGTAAAATTAACACTAATGGGTGAAAATTTTGAATCGCTCTCCTAACCAAAACATGGGGACCCTATTTCCTAGATTGCGGATGCCCCTTATATTTTGCGAGTCAAGCATCAGAATCTATCAAAAAAAAGTATGTTTATACAGAGAAAATTTTTGTGTCTGATTTCGTAACTTCAAATATGTCCTGCACCAATTAATTAGCATATTCGAAACAATTAAACAATTCAAATTGAGTGCTAGAACGTGAAGATCCGCTTATTAGATCAAAAGTTATTCAGGATGGTCGATTTTTTTTGGCACACTGTACGTTTCTTTGAAATGAATAAACATTTCAATGTGAAATTAAAAAAAAAATATATTCGGGATTCTCCCTCATCTTTTAGCTTGAAAAGGCGGCTAATTTTTATAGTTTTAAAGGTATCGCTCGCCAAACGATCTATGTCATGGGGGAGGGGACTCGAATCCCACTCTGGGAATCCTTCTTTGAATCATGTCGCATGTTTCTTTCTTGACAAGGGCTAATAAAACATACCTATGTAATTGAGCACCCATACTTGCATAAGCATGTGTATCAACAAACAAATAACTAAATAGCCGAAAACAGGAGAAAAAAGAAAGCTGCCATTATTAAAAATGTGTTTACATGTAAAGTGACAAAGAGCAAGCTTGACAAAGAACAAGCTTGATGATCAAAATACGAAACAAAATAGTTAGATGTATGTATATCAGATTCTTCAATCGTAAGACTTTGATTATTAGATAAAAATAAAGTGTTTCATTTTTACTTCTGTTTACTTATTTTTGTTTTATATCCTATACCTAACGAAACTTTTCCTTTTTTTAAGTGGTTTTTGTCCACATTAGCTCCATACATAGGCTTTGTGTGTATACAAACTGTGAATCTGATGACTTATATCACGTGTTACTTATTGTAAAAATAGTTTTGTGTTTACATCAGCCCCTTTACATAGAGATAGGGCTTACTAGCCACGGAATTGATTATTTAATCTTTGTGTTATTTATGTTCTAAAAAATTTGTTTTTATTCTTATGATTCGTCGACAGACAAATAATGAAACTGATTACTTAATGCATGGTTACACATAGAAAAAAAAAGACAAATATCCCTGATGTTATCTCTTCACTATTTGAAAAATTGAATTATCTATAGTTTAATTTAAAACAATGGAAAACTCCTAACCAATCAGAAAATTCCATTTCGTTTTTCGCTCATCCAGCTCATACTGTTCAACCTAGAATGTTTTAATGTCAACCTTCTTACTGCTTCGAACTATCTAATATATATATATATATATATATATATATATATATA